GAAACCCTGGGTATGAGGTTGCATTAGCAGGTTGACATGCGTAATTCTTTAGATCATCATCAGTCTCATCCAATAATTGTGAACTGTTCACAAGTGTATTCCTCATAGGCTGGTTACTTCCAAAATGATGACAGTATTATTGTACAAGGACACTGGTAAGTACAATGAGGATTATTCAGCTTCAGTTCCTTGTTCATCTTCAAGGGGTTTGCAAGTAACAATTACTTTTGCTTGATCAACAAAACTACTCAAACTACTCTTATTATTAGTTTTTGGCTCACAAGCAGATTATTTTCTAAGAAATTTAGTTCAATCTGTAATAAATTTTACTCTTGGATTAAAAGAATGGAAGATTTAAGGAAATTACTGACTTGCTTTTATTTTCTATGATGTAAGCAGTTTTTTTGTTGTGTGCTCATGACACAAAAACAGAAATAAAAATTACTGCTTGCAGTTTTTGCAATCCTTTGCCTTTTTACAGCTATATCAAAACAGACACAAGATCATTATTTTAAATAAATACTCACTGATTCAACACAATCAAGCAGTTCGCAACAAAGCCCATCTCTCTTGGCACTAGAAAAAGAATTAAAAACAACAAAATACATGTAATCACATTTACAGTATTTTCAGCTGCAAAAAAAATATATAATGAAGAATGCACCTTAAAATTACTCAAATTAAGATCTGCTTCCAATGTAGTGGTTCTTTGATTCCCACTTACCTTTCTTCTTCAACCCAGTTGTTCTAAGGAATGAAAAAGACATGATAAGTACAACTTCAAAGAATAAGCAAAGTCGACCACTGCATGAGAGATAATTTCAAAGAAAACACCCAATATGAAGTGGACACTTGTCCTATCCCTAATAGCCAAAACCTTAGGATTGAAGTAAGCATGAACAGATCTACATTACATGAAGTCTTAAATAAATTAATAATATTATGCCATTCAAAGATTATAATGTTTGCTTTCAACTTGAAAGACATTATAGAGCTGTATTCATTTCAAAAAATTAATAGTCTGTTATGTTTCTCACTCTGACAAAGTACAGTCGGTTTGATGAAATCCTACATGTTGTCAGACATGGCAACTGGACAGACCTAATAAGAAAGACTATCCCCTCGAAGGAGTAGATGTTGTATATGTACACTAAAATGAAATTCGGGTTTAAAAGGTTTCAAACAGTTGGAGTCTTACTGTAGTTTCCTTAGGTTACTAGCCCTGATTATTTTTGATCATAAATAATTAAGGCTAGGTGACAAAGGAAATTGAGAATCAAACTAGTTTGAAACTGGTTAATAAATATGAATTTCACTTTGAAGTGCAACATAGATCTACCTAATGGTACAGTTGAACCTCTCTACAACAGCCAACCTTGGGGACAGAAGAAAGTGGCATATGGAAAGAGGCTTAAATAAGAGTCAATGTTCAGTGTAAAGACTGTCCACAGAAAAAGTGGCCTTTGTGGAGAGGTGGTCGCGAGTGGAGGTTCGACTGTACTTAAGCAAGACTTGGTCGGACATACATGTGCATGTATACAGTCAGTGTAGATGTCTTCAATTTATTAAAACATACCTTGTATAAAAACCATAAAATAAATTGCATCCTTTTGCGATCAAACAAAGCTGATAACTACAATGATTTTTAATTACAAATGCGTAATTGAAATAATGTTATCATATCTAATCACCTTCAGCACCATTATGGCTTTTAGCTTCTTAGTGAGCTTTTTTAAAATTTCCACCATATTTTTCTTCTTCATCTACATTTGTAAAAGGCAAAAACAGTGCAAGTTCATTTTTGTCAGCCAAAAACCTTTCTTACATGTATGTTAGAACTTTCATCAGAACTAATAATAGATTTAGTGTTGAAGTCAACTATCCCTTAACAAGAGACATCTTCAAGACTGACATACCCCTAAAACTGACACCTGGGGTTGATTCCTGGTATGAAATGGACACCTACTACACAGATTGACATGACTGTCTTCCGTGGTACATACTATTAATGGATGTTTAATTTTGAAACAGAATTCAGACACTATTCATGTACATGTGTATCATAAAAAAACACTGCAGAGTTAGTTAATATGTCTGCACAAGACATGCACATGGAAACGTTTTGCACTTGTTGATGATAATCAGCTTTAATCAGATTTTCAACCTTTCACAGTTTTAATCAGATTATCGCGAACTAACTTTTGAAAGTAAAAATGAGTATTAATTAAGGCACAATAAACATAAATAAATTACATGTATGTAATATTTATTTACTGTAATACACATATGTAATATTTATTTATTGTAATACATGTATGTATGTATCATCATTTTGCTATGTACAGGTTTGAAAACACCAGTACAGTGTAACATACACCCAGCTTATTGGAGTTTACTTACTTCCATCTGTTGACTGTAAGGCTGGTTCCACAATGGAGTGACAACATGGTTCAACCTGGGAACAGAAAAAATTAAAAATGGAGTTTGGACTTTCCAAACTGACATATACACAGACATCACCTCTTCACTTGAAAAACAATACTTTCATAGTGCCTGTAGTGTGTTCAATTTTACCTGTTACCATACCCCAACCCCCCCACCCCCACCCTCGAGCAACTCCCAGGACAATTACAGCCCTTCGGCCCAGGGGATAGAGAACTGTTTGAACAGGCCCTGTCCCAGGGGTAGGGGGTGGGGCAAATAGCAGTTTGCACGATGGCTGAGAACTTCAAGACTACGTATTTTAAAGGGCAAACGCAGGAATTTGTTGGAGAGTGGTTGGAGAGGAATAACCTATCAAAATAAATTAAAGTCTGTATTTGAAGGTATCTTTTAAAATTATTAGGACATGCCTTATTTTTCTTTGTTTAAATTGCCCTATTGTGGTGCAATATTACCTGGGGTAAAAAATTGTACCTAGTGAAAAATTAAATTTACCTAAGAAAAAAAATTACCTGCAACATATACGAGGTCGATCAGATGCTCAGGGGCGGGAAATTGTCACTTTTTGCGTGCCCAGGGGTGGGGAATATGACACCAAGAAAGGGAAAAATTACAAATCCCTGGGGATATGCCGCGGGAGTAACAGGTCAAATTGAACCATGCATTATTGCACTGCTTTCTTTTAGCTCATATTTAATTACAAAGTACTTTGAAGGTTTTCCCCAAATTTGAGGCAGGTATAAAATTGGCATTGACAGCATGCTGACAAGTTTTAATGGCAGCTTCAGCAACAGAATCCATCAGAAGAAGTAAATTTTACCTGACAGAAATAGCAAGTTCTTCACCCTCATCATTATCATCTACTTTAATCCTCTTGGCATCAATGTTTGAACGAGCAGCATCTGTTAGTGTAACAAAGCAGAGCTTGAATAATAATTTTTTTTTCCAATCCTGTAAAATAATTAACCCTAAAATCCTCTATACTGATCAGCCTTTCCATTCAACTTATGCAGGTAATTATGATTCTGTCAACTAAGACCATTGATCTTCACAAAGTTTCTGGCATCTTTCCTTTTGACCATGACAATGGAGGGCAGTCATTTTGGTAGTCAAGATACAAGGTATTTTCAGAGTCTAAGGGATCAATTACCAACAATACAATGACCTGAAAAATGTGAAAAAACGGTTTTTTCATTGAGGCTTTTGACACTTTACACTCTCCTGAAACTACATGTAAAACTCCTTCCCTTCATAAAGCCTTTAATTTGTAGTGTTTTAGATTAACTATCACACACACGTGAACAGACCAGGGCATCTCCCCCTCTTTTGCTCTACAGAAAGGGAAGGGGAGGGAACTTGAAGATTAAAATGACTTATTTTGTCAAAAAAAAATCTATTGAAAATGCTTTTGTGAAGATCCAGTCCACTGATAATATGTTCCAGAATTTAGCTGTTGCAACACTAAAAGATGGATCACTATAATATTATTTTTTTGGTCTCTACATCGGAATTTGTAGAAACTTGAGGAGCATCAATGTTATGGGAAAGGGTAATGAGAATTAAAAGCCACAGAAGTGATCAAGAATGAATTGACATCTTTAACAAAGAGAGAGCAACATTATTTTATGCACGCTGATATATTATTACAGCACATAAGCTTAACTCTTGTGCTAACCTTGAATCATCCTTTTTCTTGCCATTCCTTCAGCTCTTTGAACAGCAAGTGGATCAGGTAGCGGCTGAGCAGTCTAGAAAAAAAAATGAACAGATGAATTAAAATTGTCTGGTCTGAAAACCTTGCAAGGAATATTGTTTGACAACAAATAATATATTTTATACCAGACTGTGCAATTCACATGAATAAATGCTGTAACTTGATACAGACAGGGATTTCCAAAAAAAAAATTTTAAAAGGCTAGATAGCATCTAATTGCAGCATAGATCAAAAGACATGTCAGCATAACTGGGTAGGATTAAGAGGGGGGCATAACATCTGAAAAAAAAACATAATTATCATGTATTTTCATAAAGGACCACTGATTTTACGGGATGCTTTAGTCACACGAACACTAGATTTCAGTCAATGTTTCACAAGTTTTTTTATACTGTAGATTTACACAGAATTTGCTCACGGGCAAAAGTATGTGGAGACTTTTAGTTTTCATCATTTTGTTCATTGCTGGCAGGAATTGGTTGTGTGACTGATAAATCGAAAGTTGAATGAAAATTACATTTTCTTGAATGAAAAACACCCTATCTTGTCCTCAGTTTAGTCTGCAGAACACTGAAAATCGCATTTGAGGGATTTGAAAAATTACGGTTGGTTACTCTATTCAAACCTGCTGGCTACTTCAATTTTTAATGAAACCCCTGCTGCCACTACAAAATCTTAAGTTTTGGGGGGGTTCCTGAAAAAGGCATTTCAGTTCATTTTGAAAAACCAGGGAAAGAATTTCAGCCATGAAAAAGGCACCTTTCCTCACCCACATTATTAGGTTTATTTCAAACCACATGTAAACTTCTGCTTAGACTTGATGGTGATTTTGGCTGGTTGCCGACGCATGCTTCACTGCTAAACCTCAAACAATAATTTCAGTGGTGGCTAATTAAAGGAATTTTTTTGCACTAAAGAGAATTTTGCAGAAAACCAAATGGCCACCAAACACCAAACAACTCTGAAGTTGAATGATTAGGGTTAGAAAACTGAGTGAATCAATTAATTTTCAGTTCAGTTTGCCTTGTATAATGACCACTTCTTGATAACTTAATAGCTACCATATCACATCTTGATAATATACTATACATGTACCTTAGCAGAAAGCACTTTTCCTTTCCACTTGTGTCCTGATAATGATCTGATAGCCAACTGAAAGAAAGAACTCACATTAAAGTTGTCTTGCATTAAATCAATTTACTACACAGTTTTTTTTTTAACCGCCGCCTGGTTAGCTCAGTTGGGAGAGCGCCGGTCTACTGAGCGGGAGGTCGCGGGTTCAAACCCCAGCCGGACCAACACTCAGGGTCTTTAAATAACTGAGGAGAAAGTGCTGCCTTTGTAATAATATCTGCAAACGGCTAGACTCTCTAGTCTTCTCGGATAAGGACGATAAACCGTAGGCCCCGTCTCACAAGCCCTTGCACATGTATTAAATCTGTGGGACGTTAAAGAACCCACACACTCTTCGTAAAGTGTAGGGCACGTAGTGCCCGGTGTAGTGGCCTATCTCACTTTCACACTCATGTATGGGGGCATCATTACTCATTCCTTCACTACTTGTAAACTGCACCTTAAGCAGTCTGGCAAAGTCCCCCAAACAGTGTTGTAAATTATCCCTGAAAAGCCCTGAGGGGAGTGGATAATAAGATATTTACAATTTTACAATTACAGTGATATGAGTAGAATACAGACAGTACACTGCAGAAGAATACAAAGAGCATCTCACCCGCCTTTCCTCTTCATTCCTGAATGGAGTAAAGAATAATAAATTTTAGTTCAGAAAATTGTAGCCGTGTAATGCTTGTTGTCATTATCACAAATGCCTGTCATCCAAGCTACAGCTGTACTAGAAGCTGTATGACATTATTCTGGTATCTTTTGGATCATGAGAAGGCAGTCTGTAATAGAAAAGTGCCAACATTAAAAGGTGGTCCATAAGGGAGATGTTCAATATTACACAAGTCACGTAGCACTTACCATTAATCTTTGTGATATTAACCCTCCTGGTTAACACATTTGAGATGCCAGCTTATAAACTAGCATCATTTGGATTAAAAAAACTCTTAATGCTAGAGCTGGAGCTAGTCTAAGGGTGCACTCAATCTTATATTGTGATTTTATGGCCCACTAGAATACCGCATTCATCATGATCAGAAAATTAATTTTATTTTGAGCAGAATTCTAGATATTGCTATGCAATGAATGCCAGAGCAAGTGATTTCTATGGTCAATCAAACAAGCCCCACGTAAAACCATCTATTTTGTTATTAATTTAAAAACCTAGTGGCTATAGTGGTCTTAGATAAAATCCATTCCCAGGTAAAACAAGTACATATATTCAAACCATTACACCTGGACAGTGCAGGGTTAACTTTTTGCATGGGTTCTCACTATGGTGGCCTAGGGTTAAAATACTGATTTAACCTGAGAAAGTGTTGCCTCTACAAGGGTAACAATAATATTGCAACTTTTTGAATTTGGTTATTACTTTGAAATACACATGTATTTGGGAACTACCTGACTCCTGCAAAATAAAAGCTAATTTCATGCGCTGTGCACACAAAGTATTGTTTCTACTACTACATATATGGTACATTAATATTAAAGGTACACTGTACCTGAAAGTCACATAAGCATGGGTTGCTCCTGGAGGCAATTTCACCTTCACTGGTCTCACGTTGAGCCGGTTAGCAATCATTTTCTTGAATTGCTGAGTAAGAACAATATAAGTACATATAAGTATGTACAAATGCAAACTGTAAGTTCTGAATGGTATGTGCCAGACAAGTCACCAAATTTGGTCATTCTATACTAGACCAGTAGACCACTTTCAACGGTAAACCCGTGTTTTACGTGTGCTTTGTATAACACATAAGGGTCACATTTTTCAGTGACTTACATGTATGGCAACATACATAGTAGCAGCCATGTCTTATTGTTTTCCAGTGGAGAGGAAAACGTGGTTTATGGCTAGTTCCTGCCACAATTTGTGTTGTAAATCATTAAAAACCCCATCTGAGATAACAGCTACAGTATTTATGCCAGGGGAGACAAATAAGAAAATAATATTACAGTCGAACCTCTCCTTACGGACACCTCTCTAATACGGACACCTCTCTAATACGGACAGTTCACTTGGTCCCGGGAAAATGCCCATACATTCTTTGTAAAAATAACCTCTATAATACGGACCCTCTATAATACGGACAATGGACACGAAATCTCGGCCCCAGAGAGAAAATTCATACAAACTGAACCTCTTTATTACAGACACTCCAATGACGACAGTTCTTATTCAACACAATTTCCTGTTTACATATCAGAGTGTAATCAATTGTCTCATTGTTCATACAATAACAGTATCATGTTTTCAATCGGTAAAAATTATACTATCGACATGTCATTGCCATTTATCATCAAGATTTCTTATTCTTTGAAGACTCTCCAGTTAATGCTTTCCTTTTTCTACCTCTTTTCTTTTCGACATTTTCACTTGAAAGACTATCTTTACGGACAGCTGGGTTTCTGTAAGATCCAAGCACTTCTCCAAATGCTGAATGAGTTTGTGCGGTCCAGTGAAAATATATTCACATGGGATCTCCATGCCTAATCTTCCGCCCCGATTGACTGCCTTCCCACATACGTTGACAACTCCATTGGTCCCTGGCTTTGCAAGAAAATGTGTTATAAGATGGATAGGACAGGCCTGGGAAGCCATAGAGTCATCCACCATAATCAAGTGTTTCGCTAATGCGGGAGTACTAGACAAAGAGAGAAATGTAGTTGAAGCTGTAGAACCCCCAAATGACAAGGACCCATTTGCAGACCTGGAAGATGAGGTTTCTCAGGTTGAGATGTTACTGAACGAGTCATGTGTGACACTGCTGTGTCTGCACACGAAGCTATTGCAAACGAAAGTCTTCTTCCAGTCTGTCAAGAGTTAAGTGAAAACTGGGAGGAAAGGTTCCTATCAAGTTTGTCATCAGACTCAAATGGTGACAATGAAGGCGCAGACATTGACGATGAAGAGATCTCGGAGCTGGATGATCTTCAAGCACCAAAGCCGCTAAAAGTGAAGTCATATAGTGAGGCTTGCTCAGAACTTAACCATGTTTCTGATTTTTTTACTGCACAAGGTGAATCAAATTTGGCTGATGAGTTATGCAAGATTATTTCAAAAGCTCAGTCGTTGTATGTCAAAAAATGACTAGTGAATGCTGTTCAGAAGAACATTACAGACTTCTTTAACGCAAAATGAATCAATAACAAAGAACTTTCATTAAATGCTCTCCTGTATGTTAGTGTTCGCTACACTTGTTACTGTTCTATTATGTTACTGTTCGGAAACTGTATTATAGTTTGCCATATGTTTTTGGAATTGTACAGCTTGTATTGTAATGATTTGCACTGTCCATTAAACAATTCAAATGCACCTCAAAGCCTTTTTTGGGCCAATTTTGACTTAAAGAACACTTAATACCATCAATGGAGCCTTTAAAGTGACGTAATATTCATGACCTCTATACAAAGGACACCTCTCTAATACGGACACTTTGTTCTGTCCCTTCGGTGTCCGTATTAGAGAGGTTCGACTGTATTCATTCAAAATATTTCCCCGATTCTGACTGGCTAAAGGCACACGCATAAGTCACCATAACCAGTTACTGATGACCAAATTTGGAAGAATTTTGTGTTTAACGAGGAAATGACGTCAAAAATACAGCGTTCTTGCAGGTTAATGCACTGTTAACCGAGAAGACCTGGGGATGAGGTTGAGTTGTTTTGGTTGTGAAAACAAAAAATGGCGGACATTTCACTTGTTTCAGGAGCAAGAACTAGGCGAAATTATAGCTAAAAACATGGCAAGAACAGCAAGAACACAACTTGAAGGGTGACATCTGTTATTTGGAGAATATTTGAGGAGCTGAACAACCCTAAACATGCACTATCAAAGGTGAACTTAACATCGATGGAGGTAAGGATATTTTAGCTTTGCTTTTAAACTAGGAATTATTTTGAATGAATAATAAAACAGTTATTGAATTCGGCTTTCGTATCATATGAAGAATTAAGGAGATCTCAGAGCGGATAACACCCTCCTCAGTCTCCATAATGTTCTTCATAAGATACTCAGCCTCATTCATTAATTGTTAAATAGCACACTTACATACACTGTACACGTATGGTGGATTCAAAAATCTCAATGCGCCTTTTTTACCAATGAAATCCTTTTGATGCTCTTATTAAGGGTTGACTTCAATATCATCCATCTTGGTATCTTATTCAGAGATTATTTTGATCCTTTTCCTCTTTTCACGCATTCTATGTGTACATGCAGTGACTTACCTTGTAGCCACACTTCCTTGGTAAATTTTGCAGTCCAATTTTGTAGATCTCTGAAGTAAATTCATCCCGTTTAATGTAAAAATAAGGATCAGATTCAATCTCTTCTTCATCTGGTTCGTCGTTTGCCACCTCACCATCTTTACCATCATCTTTGTCACCCTCCTCGTTAACTTTGTCGTCGCCCAAAGACGATTCTTCTTGCATTTTCGCAGCAACATCAGAAGCTTCACTAATGCTTGACAACCCCAATCCATCCATAGAGCTTGACTCAACAGCAGTAACTGTTTCTGAACTTGTTGGCTGCTCGTTAGTCTCTGTGTCTAACGTTGCATAGCTTCCACAACTTGTAGCAGTTGTTGTTGTCGACGAAGTGGAAGTCCATGAAGAGGCTTCTGTTTGCACCTTCGCGAACTGAAACAACGGTGGAAAGCCAGGAATAGGAGTTGATACTTCTTGCTTAACTTCTAGCTTAATTTCTTCACCTGGAAAGACAGCCTGGTTGCTGCTCAAAGATGTTTCTTCCTGAGCAAAATCGCCCCTATCGCAACTTCCGTCCGCCATGTTGGTATTAAAATAGACAGTGGTCACATGGAACGCATGTTTTTCCTTGTTGAAGTTTGTTTGCCAGAACTCGCACGAGTGCAAAATTAGGAAAAACTCAAATTGTACAGTTTTGTTACGAACTGCAACTGATCTATGGTAAATGGTCGTCTAAAAATAAAACGCACAAATTAACGAAATGCGAAAGCGTACCACGACGTTGGTTTGTACTTCATGCAAGTAAGCCATTTAGTCCCCGCGTGTGACGCTCCATCCCAGGTCCTTCGCTCCAGTACCCAGTCTACACCACGAGGTATATCCGGGAGCGGGGTTGGCCGTTGGTCGTATTAATCGGAGATTCAGGAATATGGTGCAATGTCGGTAACATTAGAAAAAGAATGGAATTTTCTTCGCGCCATACAGAAATGATTGTAATCAACGGTGGAGTCTCATTTCGTGTTATGGTTAAGGTAGTGTTAAACCTTGTAACATTTTGCCGTCGTTTAATAGAGGTGTTTCACAAACACCTTACTAGACTCGTCATGACCTTACATGTCTAAAAAAGGACAAAAAGAGACTAAAAGAGCCAAATTATTAGGAATCATATATGAAGTACCTACCAATTATTATTACATAACCGCTGACAGAAGAAAACGCAGGCTCTGTCTCCTAAAATAGGCACTAATTCTTAGAAGGAATGTGATTTGGTTTCCAAGAATCAAGGGAAACAATAGGCCCTTTGCAGCAAGCCATTCACGTGGTACAAAACCGCCGTGCTGGAGAGCAAAAGTCGCACTAGGACAAGACAAACAAAGACAATTACCATTTCAAATTATGTATGTCTTTTGTTTGTCTTGTCCCAGTGCGAATTTGACCCTCCAGCGTGGCGGTTTTGTTATGTACCACGCGAATGGCTTGCTGCAAAGGGCGTATTACTTTTCATCTAATGATATTCAGAGATCATTGTTAAGAACTGTTTTAGTCAAAACAAGTCTTTCCCATAAACAAGTTAACAAAGGTCGCTGATGAGCTAGTCGAACTAGGTCGCAAGCACTCACAGAATTAAGCTTGACTTGCACAATGAAAACGTCCACTTTGCTTCTTTTTACAGCTTTTCTTGTCTTTTGCACAGGCCCTAACAGCACACAGGGGAGAACAGAGGGTAAGCTTATTTAATTCAATTGATTTAATTAATGTTTATCCAACAACACTCTGGACTTTTGCTGACTCCCTGATATTGGTTTTGAGGGTGCGGCTATTTTACACGACTTTACTTAAAGGGAACTTGAACGACAGTTTAGTTCGACAGAAGACTTCAGATGCATTACATGTATGAAAGTCACTGGCGAGGATCGTTCACATGATATATAGTGAAAGCACCCACTAGCTGGCATGGTATATTCATGATTTGTAGCCAACTAAAACGGTTACGTTATCAGTGCGGATAGAATACTCCGTCTCTTCTTGCTGTTACTCATACTTTCCGGCACCCCGACGCCTATTATTTCTTCCACGTGTTCCTTGACACTCAGAATTTCCCCCAGAAGTTACCAAATACAAGGAGAGATTAAGATCTCAGGAGTTTTAGTTCCATAAAGACGTGAGACTGACTTTTAAATGCGCCATCATGTAGAGCTGAAAGAAACTTGATTGCTAGTACCCTGCGAGCAGAGTCTCCTTCGATCTTCCTATCGAAGGAGACTCTGCTCGCAGGGTAGATTGCTAGTAGCAGCAGTAGCTCAGTACTCATCAGCGTTTGGCTCCGATCATGAGTTGAATGATTGATGTTAAAAACGGGTAGCGACGTGTATCAGGATTTGATGGAGGTTATGCAGTAACTGTAAATCAAAAGTATTTATTTGATCAGGTCCAAATGTTGTATAGATTGGAGAAAGTTTTGGTCGACCGAGCTTCTATGAATGTAATTCAAGTTGCTTTCTCTGCTTATTTGAAATACGCTTCTAGAAATGTCACGATGGCACTTCATAATTGCACTTGTTCCTTTTGTTCATCCGTAAAGCATTAATAACATTTAGGTCTTTTTGTATGACTTAATTTGTAAAAATATGTATAAATCGTAGTACCCCTAAAAGAAACATGCTTAGTCCAATTACTAATAAATAATTAAAAGAAGGTAAAGTCACCCAACTAGCTAAATTCGAGTCGGTAAATGATAAGCAACAGGGGCACCCAACGTCAATTTTCGGAAAAATATCTGTTCGGAAGACAATCTGAGATCTAGAATGTTCGGAACATTTGTTGTAAAATTTCTTGCTTGCCTGCCTCTCCTAGAATTTTCGAACATCTAAAAAATGGTATAATTGCCCATTTTTACCCTAAAAAGATCACCTAGAATTTCAGTTCGGATCACTAGACTTTCAGCTAGGAAATCCGAACAGATGAAAAATTTTTAGGGGATAAAAATATGCTAATATCTACTGTTTAAATACTAAAATACATTTAACAATGCTATTTTTATGTAGTTTTGAACTATATTCTCGTTGGGTGCCCCTGAAGCAATACACGCCAGGGCATGTTGCACGGATAACCTAAGGGTTTATTATAGTCATTATATGCAAAACGTAATTTATCTGAAAAAACGAGTCAGTTAAGAACCCACACAGCTATTTACAGTGTATTCCGAGCGGAGAAAGAGCGAGAAATCAACTTAGACCACAGTGTGTTTGGCTATTGTGGACATGTTGGGTTGGTTTGAATGACAGGTGGTGACGTGGACCACGTGTTTTAGAAGTTTTTATCACCAAGTACACCATCTGGCTTCTGACAAGTGCCCTTGTCAAGATTATGATTGTATTATTTCATTATGATCGGGAAGGGGGAGGGAGGTAATATGTCAGTGAGCATAACCGTTCTATTCTAGCATTGAGGAAATACATAAACAAAGCTAGAGGCCGTTTTTCTTTCAATTCTGTGTGTCGGCAGAGAAATAACAATCTCTATATATGGCAGCTGACTAGAAAAACTCAACCTCGTCCCCAGGGCTTCACCCTAAAAAATGGGTGGGGCGCCCGACCCAGTTTTTAAGGGAAAAGCCCTGGGGACGAGGTTGAGAAAAACGAAACAGAGTCTTTTTAAAGTTCTCACATGAAACTTTTAAACTTAGAGCGTGGAACAAGCTGGGAATTTCTCCCGCTGGTCCTGAAACGAGCGGTAAAAGGTTCCTTTTTGGCCATAATAAATCCTTATCGACAAAGCTTATTCCTTCAAGGTGACTGGATATTGGCCTCACGTTTTTATTGACCTCGACTTCTTCTCGCTCCATAAACACTCAAAAAAGAACTATATCCGGCTATCTTGACCTCCCGAGTGCCATGGTCAGTAATGCATATGTGGTACATCTTACCGCCAATCAGAACACAGGATTAGCTTCATCTTGCTCACTTGCTCGCACATTCAACCTTACATTAAACACACTTAGCGACGGATCTGGAGTACACTGTAAATCAGAAAGATCTGTTTTAGCCCTAAAAATGAGGTTGTTTTGGTGAGTAAAATACAGTCCTATTTTTGTGTCTAATTTGGCTCCCTTAAATCAGGGTCAATAAAGTCCAATTATCCAGGGCTGATTTGGACCCCAGCGTGGGCTGGAATAGCTCCAGAAGTGGTTTGAATTGGCACTTTGGGGCTGAAACAGCTCCTTTTAATTTTCAGTGTAGTCTGGGTTCAAGTCTTCGCTTCGCGTTTGTCCCTTTCAGTCTTTCATCAATAACTTTGCTCCATTTTTTCTCTCTTCACCCGGGGGTACTTGGTTATGGGCAACGTACTGCTAAGGGAAACCCTGTAATCTTCTAACTTCTCATCCAGGGCGGGGGGGGGGTAGAAACAATCATAGATTCTCCTCCAGCAAAAAAAAAAAAAAAAGTTAACTTCCGGACGTGTTGGCCTTGTGCAGGTCTAAAAGGTGTCTGTCTTATAGGTAAACGAGAAACGGCTTTTTATTTTTTCAGGGCTTGTGAATGTTGACATCACAGTGAGCACTAGCAAGCTGAATGAAACCAAACAGTTTTACACCAAGTTCTTGAAATTTCAAGTGGTGAAGGAAACCCCAGGATTTATCTCCTTTTCGCCTGGACCAGGTTGTGGAAAAATCTCTACTTTTAATACTACTTACAGTGCTTAGCTAAGATTTTTATCAGACTGGCTGTAATAAAGGCCAAGGTCACAAAATTATAAACAGAGGTAACACAGATGAGAAATTGTCGTGTTGAATAATTGCAGCTCGTTAAGAAAATATCTACTTATTCGTGTTTCAAAAACAGAAAGATTTTGCTCAATACTTGCACGTTTGATCGGCCCGGCTTACTCTAAGCAGAATTTCACCATCAATATCAAACTGAACTAAGGCATACACACAGAAGAATGGTTATGAAAACCACATAAAACGTACTTTCGGTCCTTAAACCAGAATTTTAATGGTGACACTTTTTTTCAATGGTCAATTTTAAATATATTGACTGACCATCTTGATAATAAACAGTTAAATTTGCGTTTTTTGGTTTTGCTACGCGCCTCACAGATCAATCGTGTGCGATCCACTCATTTGCCAATCTTCTTTCATTACAGGTGTGGCTTATCTTGACTTTGTCGTGGAGGGTGCAGAACATGCATGCGCTAGACCTCAGCTGGCCAAAAATTTCGCGGGCAAAGGCATGTTCCTTACTTACAATCTGGGAGATGTGGATGCTGCGTGCGCGGCGTTTACACAGGCAGGTTATCCATTGGCAATGCCAATTAAAACTGAGACCTGGTTTGAACGTCACTGCTACGTCATAGATCCAAATGGGATACCGTTGAATTTGGCCCATTGGAATCACACTCCAGCCGAGCCTACAGGTAAAAAGTATCCATTGAAGGCTACAAGATAATAGTCTCTTACTTCTATGCTCTTACGAGAGATGCACTGCAAAGCGCCGATCCTTGCGTCATCATTTATTTAATCACTTTTTAGAGCCTTACTGCCGCCCAGGTTCTGTTTTACGTCACATTTTTCTTGTAGACTAGCGTTGATGGGAAAATGACTGTTCTGCATTTGAACACTAGCGCACATCTCGTATGAAATCGAATCTTGTTTACGAACTTGAAGCGGAGGTAGACATATCTACAAAAAATTGCTGCGCAGTAGTCTAAATCGTAAATTGTATATAGTTGCCAGTTTGAGATATCCTTACAAATGAACAGACGGGAAGAGCCTGTGGAATATCACAAGGGTTGTACAGTTGTCAATTGATTGTGTCGTTAAACTTAACTTAAACAGGAGCCCATGTTACGGCTGCTAATCAAAACCGAAGAGATTTATTTAGCGGACAAAAATAGACTGCTTAAGAGGAGGAAGATAAACAGAATTAATCAGAAGGCATGAGGGCGCGTCATGATAGCCTCTAACTCTGATTGGCTAATGAAAAAGCTTGGCAAGGGAGACCGTTTACTTCAGTCTTTTCTTTGTTAATAACAGGTGTCAGCAGTATGGCATTTTATTACACCTCGCATGACTTGCTAGAGATACAAAATTGGTACAGCAATAACTTGAACATGACCGTGGAAAGAGGAGTGGACTGGATTGGATGGGTGATAACGCTGATCGCCGCAAATGGCACTGTGGAGTTTCGGCCATTCCATCCACGAAACATGACCTACAACCCAGCCTCCTTCATTCCTCATTTGCTGGAAGAGTTTGACGGACACGGCCTGTCTTACACCTTCAACTTTAATACTTCACTTGAGGTCGACAGGTACGCTTGTCTATAAAGACATTAGACTTTGTTTTACGCTTTAGCTTGTGCAATATATGATGTTAGAATTAAGATCTCAATGCACGCGAGCACTGGATTAGAATAGTCAGTCAAGCACGTGTTTTGTATAGGATTTCCAGGAGTATAGTTTTGAAAGACACTCATCTCGATAATGGACATCTAGAAAAATGCTTTTTAACTGAGTGTAAGACAAGTTGTGCGAGGCTTTTTAGATTTCTCTCGGATTAGCTCATATGTCGTGTACTTCGGAAGTTTTCACTCTGTTTACCAGGGGTTCTTACTCTCATTAAGAGATTTTACTCACAGATTTCGGTCTGGAATTTTTTCTTTGGATTCCCTTCACACCAACATATGAGGAATATTAAATTTTTCTCATTCATTAATAGAGTAGCTTGCAAAGCAGGCGTATTTTGCAGTGCCCTCGTCCTTGCCCGCCCCTCCTACCTTAGTTTTCCAGTTGCTTTTATGATGGCGGCCATGATCACTGTACCTCTAGGTCGCGCTTTCGTTAAAAAAAAAAAAAACGCCTGCTTTGCAGCCTATTAATAGGGCGGAAAATTTACTACCTGTACTGTTTTATCACGCATTGCACTTGCGTCTGATTGGTTCTTTGGTGCTTCGTCGCTAACTGTATTTAGCTAAGCTAATCACTTTGGGTTGGGTTTTACAACATTTTCGATCTTTAACACCCTATTACTGGTAGTAATCTGACCGTATTTTGGGTGGTCGTTGGCTTAGCAGGAGAGATTCGTTGTACATCAATATCAGGTAATCATAATCAATCAAAACAAAAACCTTCTTTTATCGATCTCTGTTCGTCTCTAGATGGTGCCAGTTCCTGCAAGATCGCAATCTAACCTGGACACGCCCGCTAGGCTGGGTGGGAGGCAACAGGCGCTGTGCGGTGGACGATCCCAACGGTGTGCTTATTAACATCGCCACACCCGGGTGGAATGAGTATGAAGAGGAGGTTAACTGCTCCCAACTATTCCCTAACGAATCCTCGTCCACTCCACCCTTTTCTAACGCAACCTCGTCCCCTGGGAATAAGGGTGACCCTAAGGGTGAGGGGGAAATACAACGAGGGTGTGTTATTACCTTGATTACAGCTCTCGTGCTATCGCTGTTATTTCCTCTGTAGGTCATTAGAAACCTACGATAAGTTTGCAGTTATTCTGGATAGATACATTAGCAAGTAATGTAGTACATGTATTGGAAGTATTTAGTTTATAAAAGTAATGCCAGCCGCCCTTCACTCCTCATAGTAGGGAAATCCGAATCTCACCAAAAAAAAATAAACATTTGATTTCATTGTGAAATGATGCCAGACCAAGAGAAAGGATTTCCTCCACTGCCTTACATTTTAAACGTCAGATTTGTTTAGTTACAAATCCCTAATAAGTATTAGGAAAACCAACTATGTCATCCACTGAATAGAAACTTATCCAGTAGATAACGTTATCCCTCTTTTGTAACAACTGGGGCCTGAACCTTTTCAAGATTACATACCGCCGAAAGTACAATTCCATCAAGAACGTCTTTCGACCAAAGCGTTTGGTGTTCTTGCGCACGCATGCATTGGTTTTCGATTGAAAACGTTATTGTAGGATGTCTAAAGAGAAACAAATCATTGTATTCTTTCTTTATAAAAAGCCTGGCGGCATGCATGAGGCGGGCGGGGGGGTCCTAAAAGGACTAGTCATGTGGGCGGCTGAAGGAAACATTTTTATTTAGTTAAAGAGCAATCAGGAGACACCTTTTGACTAATTATTATCTACAAAAATTGACATAAATAAACAGCACCTTAGTTGCAGTGAATGTTTCAAATAGTTGGCGTTCTAGCACTTTTAGTTCAGTTACCTGTAAACGCAGTCTAGCCTTTACCTATTGTTTTAATTCGTCTGATCCAGGATGATACTGTGAGATCAAGAGCAAGCTTTACATAGTAAAATTACTAATCGCCAAAGACTACAAAGCTGTTTTGTTTGATTTGAAAGGTAGAGCTAAATATCTCAGTAGATCCAGAGCGGTAAAAATTCGGGAAGGGAATTTTCGCACCAAAAATACCGTGCTCGTTGGAAAATTTGAATTAAGCCCCTCAGTGAAGAACAAATCTGGGTGTGGGTCCAGCTTGATTTGACCACTGACTCAGTCAAGGAGCGGTCGCGGGAGACTATTACGGCACTGGTGCTAAGGGGACGATGGGAAGGTGGAGGAGAAAAGAAAGTCTTTGCTCCTTCCCATTATCCCCCGCACTTCCCTTTACCATGCTTCTCTAATAATTTTAATAGGAGACTGAGAGACCTCTGGTGACGAGTCAGGATTTGACCCCAAAACTCCAACACAATAACGGCATTTGCTACTTTTATTTAGCTAAATCATTATGCACAACCGTACGCAATTTTTTTTGGGTTAAAAATAATCTCTTTCTTTTCTGAACACCCTATAAGTCAGACCAAACTCTGAAATTTCTACTGACGAGAATCACCGTCATTTTCATATAGGAATTCGGCTAAAAACGATTATTGAAAAACTAACTACAGCTGATCTGTTTTTATTTTGATGCAGTTAATTTAAATGGAGTAATCTGGGGAAAAGAACGGGTTATGATATACAATGTACCATCGGGGGTTTACGTAGTTTGCGCGACATGCTCTGCTCCTTAGCTTTGAAGGGTGGAAGACATCATTTTTACGCACTGGATCAGCCTTTAGATTTCCGTGAGAGTTAATACTCCATAAAAATAGAAAGTCGATCAAGGGCTTCTTCAGGGAAGAAGTATAAAGATCAGCCAAACTGGAACCAGAAATATCTCCGGGTGGCAACATTTTCTAGTGTCCCGAGAGCCCTCTCTGAAAGGTATTGGGCTCAAAGGGCTGCGTTTTATTAGTTCCTAAATAAAACTACACGCAGAAAAATTTCTGTTCATCCCTTATATCAGACTGTTTCTGTTCCTCAAAAATCCTGCATACATTGGAGAAAGTGAAATTTTGCAAGTCCGTTTCAAACGTCTTTGCTTCCTCTCTGCTAAGCTGGCTCGACCGAAGCCGGAATATGACTCTAGCGCCACGGTAGCGCGACAGTTTCAGTAGCCGTTGACGAATCGAAAACAAAACAAAGAAATAAAAAGAAAACGGTTCAATAAACTTTAAAATACTTTCTAAACATTTTAATACATTTGTAGTATATAATTGAGTTTGACACGACAATAGAACGACGTTTAAGTGGAATTCAAGTAGTGTAGCAGAGCAATTAGCGCACTAATAAACGTTCTGCGCGTGAGTATAGTAGGCAGTGAGCCCGACTGAGTTCGGTAACGCAGCAGATGACTACATTTGAAACGCGCTCCAAGCCGACGAATGCCTAAGTGTAAGATCGCGAGGCAAAACAAATTGAACCAAATTAAGGGAAATCAGTTTCTTACCTGATTAACTGCTATGCGTAAAGATTTAATTTTTACTTCGTTGTAGAATTTGAGACTCCTGCTTGTATTAGACGACATTTATTATAACTAGAAACTGGATCGATTAGTTTCGGTTTATGGTCAATAGAAGAGGGTCCTATATTATGGCAAAGCTATTTCATTCTGGAAAATTGAATTTTTCGAATTGAAACTACAGTATATTTTGGGGCACTAAGCCAGACCCTGGTCTGCTAACAGAGGTCCACGCACGTTCTTTTTTTCTTTACTATCAAAGATACAAGTAGACACCATGTAGGCATGAACAATATTGCCACTAAAGCAGTTTCAGATATTTTATTCTATTTTATTTTTCTAGAATTCAACGTTTTGCTTAAGGGTATGTTACAAATATGCAAATTTTACACCGTTACTTCATTTTAAACAAATAACACGCTCAATTTTCAAACAAACAGACCATGACAATGACTTCCGCATCCAATTTTTTGAGTAAATTTTTTAGTAAAATTCGAAAATTTTGTACGAAGGCTTTACCAACTCGCGCATCTTTCATTTTTTTTCCTAGTATCTTTGGCTTTCTTAGAAGATAAAATTTACAAAACTAAAGGGCATGACTGTGAACACCATATGCGTTTTGAATGTTGTTAGAAGGCTTAAATTGAGAACTCGCCACGTTTATATTGGGAATTAATACTACAGACCCATTGAAGCATGCCACTCGCGACAGGCAGAAACGACGACAATTTTAGACTGGGTCCTGTTTGAAAGGATATCGTTCTTAGGTTATACTTGAAATGTGTTTTGCGTTAAGAGAAAACAAAGTTGCGGTAACTGAAGAGAAATGCGTAGAAGAGCGCATTTCACTGGCGTCATTAAAAGAAGACTGACACATATTGAGTAAAACAAGTATACTATGTACAATCCAGGTCAGGTCTACTCGTAACACTTAGAATTCCCTCGGAGTGCCCGTCTTCACCATATGATAAAGCTACTATAAAATAGAAATCGAACACAGTAAAATTCCCACATCACCCTCCCTGCACCTTACCCCACCTTTGCTTCTCGCCGCCACATCTCACCTCCCTACCCCAGTCGAAATCACTTTTTTGTAAAACGTGGTCTGACGAGAAAATTATTATGCATGCGAAGCAAACAAAGTGAGAATTGCTTTACAAAACAAGCAAATTTCTTCGAAATATCGGGACGTTTGAAGAACCGGGGTAAAACTACTGTGTTTGACTGGTGAAGGGAATTTAGGACTGGTTCAAAATATCGGGAATTTAAAAGAAAAAAAAACCGAGAGTTCGAGAAATCGTGATTCTACTGTACTTCACTGATTGCTCTGAACAATAATATGCGAGATGGCTTGAAAAATCCACGTCTCGCTCAACCAGAAGCTGCATGTAGGTTAATTCATTGCCGTCCCTTTGCTCACGATTGACCCTTGAATTTTCCGCCAGAAGACGAAACCTTGATAAATGGATCACTGGAAGGTATGTATCCAATAGTTTTTGCATGTTGAAACGTCGACGGAGCCTATAAATGTTTGCTCTGTTCCAGTCTTACTACAGATTTCTCAATGCAATCGTGTAGAAACCGCATTCGCATCAGATTCTGATTCCTTTCAATGTCATTTCGATTTTACATTTTTAATTTTAAACTTCGGAATACAAAAAGGTACAATTTGATAGCGTTCTATATTTCAAACGTGTAAATCAAGACTAAAGTTGACCATCTGTCCAATCAAAGATAAAACAAGAAAAAAATAAAAGTGTCGTTAAAAAGAACAATTAAATATAGCACAGTTTTCAAAACTCGACGTATACCGGCAGAGAAATTCTGATCGGGACTAGAAATTAAAATGATCGATACAAAATGAGCCACGCGTCACAAAATCCAAACGTGTTGGTAGTATTTTTTCCTCAGTTTTACTCAAACCATCATCCCAATACATATCATTATTCTTAACCAAGAAATGGTTACGTCGCCAAGTAAGACGAAAAATGAACGGGTCAGAATCTAAAGAAATATTAAAAGGAAAATCGTTCAATGAAAGGATAGAAAATATATATCATCGAGCACGAAAAATCTTCAAGAGATGGGTTGTTACAGAGACTGATTTCTGGTTATCTGTGACTTTTGAAACAGTCTTGAGTGAGAGCGAACGTGTAATAAGACTTAGAAGTTCCACGACTCTCGGATCTTTCATTTCGTTTACATTTAGTTATGAAAAGTGTTTTCACTCAATAATTTGCGACTCAAACCAATTCTGGATTGGTGGCGCCATATGAAAATTGAGAAAGGTATTTCGTTTAATAATCTCCTATAGATTTCTTCATCCGGTCGTAAAGAGACAAACAGACAACAAGAGTGCAGTATCAATGTTAAATAAGAAACTAAATAAATAATTACAAAAACAGGGAATTTCTTCCTTTTTCGAAGTCCAGGAACATCTAGAAAATATGAAAATGTGAAGAAGCATTATTTTATTACCTGAAGGCTAAAAGTTTTAAAACTGATAAACACCCATGCAAACCGCAGAAAAAAGCCTTTAATTGTTACTTGCTAAATAGTTTTCGCATAAAGGTATGATGAATTCGCGCTCTCTTTCAAGAAACCAAAAAAATAAGGAGAAATTTAAACTCTTTGAGCGGTGAATCGCGCAGCTAGCAAAGGCGAAATATCCACTATAGGAAAACAAAAGAAAAACAGTGCGAGGAATACGACGCAGGGGCACCCAACGAATTTTTTTCTGTAAAATAACTGTTCGAGGGAGCAAATATTGCCTAAAAGTTTCTAAAGGTTTAGAAAGGCTTAACATTTCTGGATAACCGTTCTGTTTGTTTAAGATATTCGGATCGAGTTTTTCCACTCAGGAACTTACCTACGATTTTCGGAGGGTTGTGTTTTTCACATTTTATTACCAAGATATTGCGATTATTGTTAAAAAACGTCCCCTGAGATGTTCGGTCTTTAGAGTGACAAAACGTCCCCTAGAATCTTCTAATGAAGTACAACAACTCCATGCGTTTGAACTTTTGACCGGCCCCATCAGGGTGGCTGAAAATTTTGGATGAGACGAAAAAGCCGCCTAAAGCTTTCGAGACGACTAAAGTTCCCCTAAGACATTTGAACAGATAAGAAGTTTTTAGTGCAACTCAAAATTAACCAAACAGGCCTCTAAAGCATAGAGAAAACCATTTGAGACACTTCTCTCATATTTCAAAACATTCGGTCACTGGGTGCCCTTGATTTTTTTCGGGTTGAGTACGTAGTTGCTTAGATGAGTGAGCTTTTCTTCTTTGCAATACAGCCTTGTTGGTTTATTGTCTTCATTTCTTCTTGAGTAAATGAGGACGGCTTTAAGCAGCTACACTGAGTGCCAAGAAAAATGTCACTTGAACTAACAACTCGAGTTATTTTAACATACTTTACCGAAATTATTATTTGTTGATGGCAGTTTGTTCTACGCGTATAAAACAGGGTATAAATCAGTTCTGGCTCGTGAACACGGGAGGAAAAATTAGTAAGAGCTGATCACGG